GATGATAATCTGTAATAGCAAGGTTTACCACATCTACCAGTATACCACATTACCACCCACATTAGTATTCTCTGTGGGCTGTTATGTTTTATACTTCTGCTCTCCATCTGAAGGATTTGTCGTCCACATAAACCCACCCTATAACCTATAACAGCAGGTCGAACTGATAGTCACCACCGTGGATAGGCCCAAACATTTAATCTCTCATCTGCTTTGACTTGTGATGATCTTCGACGATGTGGATAATTATTTCAAATTGGTTCCCATACATGTGGCCTATCGTTTAGAGACGAAAGGGTTAGCCTGGACACCAAACATGATCCTGTATATGTGGCCTATTGTTTAGGGATGAAAGGGTTAGTCTGGACGCCAAACATGATGCTATAAAATCCGGAATCGACGATAATGATAAAACTAGTCTGGCCACCTTCAGGACATATTGTCACCATCCCCTGAAACTGCAGGTCGCAAGTGAGATGGAGGTTATGTTGTGTTTTGTATGTGCGTTAAGACAGCATTTTAGGAGTGTCAGTGATGGGTAAATTATTTCTATTTTGGTGGTTTCAATTAATTAATTACTCATAAAACTGTAACATTTGATTGAAAGTATAATTGGCTAAGAAAGACAAGATATGAAACAACAAGGGAAACTGCATGGGTTGTCTTAATTGTTGAAGACAAACAGCTCCTTATTGCCAGCTGAATTTGTTGTCCAGCTAATTTAATCAAAGTGGAAAGAGAGAGAAAAACGACATAGACTATGATTATTTAGCATTTTTTTTATTGCGAATTAAATTAATTTAGTGGACTAATCGCTTTATTAAAATACTTCTTTTTGTTATGATAAGTATGATTACTCCTAAATTAATTATGCTCTATTGTCTTCCATGATTACTTCTATATAACAGGTGAATAATTGTTCTTCACGTAAAAAGTTTTTGGTTGAAGACAAAACTCACATAGTACGTACCATGGAGTATATAAATATATAATATAAGTAGGTTTAGGTCTTGTTTAGTTCACCTTATTTTTGCTGATCTAGTCTGGTCTGATCTGATTTGATTGTCTAATTTGATCAAGTGGGGGTCTTGTTAGATGTGTATTAATGTGTCTTTTATTAATATGTAATTTTTATAATTTTTTTCATTACATGATTAAATATATTTAATGCTAAAAAACTGCACGGTAAACGATGATCTGATCTAAACTTATTTTTTCTGATTTGAACTTTTTTTTTTGATATGGTCTTAACTTATTTTTTTGAAATAAGTAAAAATAAGTTGGACTAAATAAAGGCGTTAGTCATCTCAAATCAAATTCATGTTAAGATTTTTATTTGATTTGGGATAATTGAGTTAACTATATACTACTTAATACAATTGTTGTATCTACTAGGCCACTACTTTCGGAATTTCAATAGTGGTAAAAATGCAGATTGATGAAAGATGTACAAATTTAGTATTATTCAAAATCATGTGTTTGTATATACTTTCTTAGTTTCTTTTAAGTTGTAAAATGAATTCTTAAGTCAATATGTTACTCCGTATAATATATCAATCAATCAAAGCCTTAGTTCCATAATTGGGGTCGGCAACATGAACCAAATTTGATTATTCCGTGTAATCATCGACAAAATCTTCCTCTTTCATCCCTTACGATCCAATGCTTCATCATTATGCAAATCCATATCCTTCCTAACTCCTTCTAACCAAGTCATTTTCAAATCCATATCGTTCCTAACTCCTTTCAACCAAGTCATTTTCGGTCTCTCTCTCCCTCGTTTAACCCCTCCATGGTCCCACTCTTCCACTCTTCGAACCGGTGCCCCTTCGGGTCTCCGTCTTACATGCTCAAACCAACGCATACGATTTTCCCTTAATTTGTCTGCAATGCTTGCCATACCTACTTTCTTGCGAATAACCTCATTTCTGATTCTATCTCTTAGAATGTTCCCGTACATCCACCTTAACATGCGCATTTCCGTAACCTCCATCATTTTTTAATGTGCTCCTCCTTAGAAGCCCAAACGTTCTGTACCATAGAGCACATTGGTCTTATGGCAGTCCTGTAGAATTTTCCCTTCAACTGTAAGGGCCTGAAACCGACACAGGTAGGTAGGTAGAGAATACCTAGGGGCGCGAGACAACTCTCTCTAAGGGGGTCGAATTGACCAGGCCCGGGCGACTGTTTACCAAAAACACAGGTCTCCGCAAAGTCGGGGATGTTTCGGTCATATAACACTCTCGTGGTCGCTCTCCATTTAAGCCACCCCGACTTAATCCTGTGGGCCACGTCTTGATCAATGTCACCATTTTTCTTGATGATCGATCCAAGATACTTAAAACATTCACTCATGGTCAAATCCTTTCCATCCAAACTAACCACTTCATTGCTTGTCCCCTTATGAGTACCAAAGCGACATACCAAATATTTAGACTTACTCCGACTCAACTTAAAACCTCTATATTCCAACCTTTGTCTCCATTGCTCCAACTTGGTGTTACTTCACCATGGAACCTCAACTTTAGTTTCATCCACCAAAACAATATCATCCGCAAACAACATACACCATGGAACCTCATTTTGAATTGGTCTAGTTACTTCATCTAGAACCGTTGCAAAAAGAAAAGGGCTTAATGCAGACCCTTAATGCAATCCAATTGTAATAGGGAAATCTTTTGTTAACCCTCCACATGTCCTCGCATTTGTTGACACATCCCGATATATATCCTTAACCAGATCCACGTATCTTCATAGGATACCTTTCTTCAACATTGTCCGCCAAAGTACCTCTCTTGGCATCTTGTCATATGCCTTCTCTAAATCAATAAAGACTATATGAAGATCCTTCTTCCTCTTTACCATATGAAGATCAATGTTATAATAAAATACCAATAATAACCTTAGTGGTGTGGCAAAGATAGAAGATGAGTGGGAGCTGATAATCATTGGGGTAAATTCAGTGACACATACCCATTTACCCCTCCTTTTACACTGTGTGCCTTCTAATTGGTTGACTACTAGAAAAAAAAAAAAAAAAAAAAAAAAAAAAAACATGAAAGTAGGAAAATTTTGATCCAAAGTATGAATGATACTTGTATGCTCTAAAAGATCCAAATTATTAATTAATGTAAGATGATCCCATCTTTTGGAGTTTCATTTTCAAAACAATTCTCATATATAACTAACTTGCTAAATTACAGAGTAGTTAAACTGAGTACGTGATACTTTCTCGTTTAATCTGAAACGAAGGAAGTAAACTCGACCCCAAAAAGTAGATGAGGCAGTTAGAAGATACGAGAAACGAGCGTGGCAGGGGGGCCCAAGTCTCACATGCTCGTTATTTATAGTCACATTTGTCTGAGGCATCTAATGAACTGAATATAATAATGATACAAATACACAACTAGTCAAAAATAAAACAAATGTAGCTAGATAAAACCCAGTTCATATGTAGCCACCAAAAAATATGCTAAAGTCCAATAACTGGAGAACAAACTTGAATATTTGCAATTATACCCCTCTATCAAATCAATTAACTTACAGCTTGCTGTCTTCCATTTGCCAGTCAAATCAGCAATTTGCATTTGTGGGTACCACCTTTTTGTTCACCAAAAAAGCTAATTATACGTTGTCATTTGGGTCCCATTTTCTCAATTACTATATATAATTATTCTAAGTTGGACCCACTTTTCCCGCTCTAGCATGCAATGTTTGTTGCTAAATTTGCAATTATTGATTTTTAGGAGGATCCTAAGATAAAATATTATTGATTATGATCAAGATCTAATCAATTTTTTTTGATAAATTTTGGTGTTTTCTTGCACATGTTTGAAATTTATTTAATGCTATATATAGAAATTTTCTTTCTTTGAGGGAAAATGTTGATATTTTTTTCAAGGGGTGTATGAAATTTTCACTAGTTAAAGTTGATTGATAAAAACTTTCTAAAAAGAGAGCTTATATTATCATGCTCTCAAACACTTTCCTCTTAATGGGTAGAAACACAAAAAGAAGAAAATGTTATAGGTAAAGCAAAATTCATGTGAGAATGTGTACAAGAGTGTGATAGACTCCATCTATTATATTTTACGAGTTCATACCGACATATCTCAAACACATAAGAGTATTATATTTAATCATAATTATGTATTAGTTCTCTTTAAAATCATGTTTTTAATGATTCATCTTTCACATATTCACATTATACTATTAATAAGCATATAATACATCAAAGTTTCAAACATAGACTCCATCTAAACTTGACCGAGAAAAAACCGATTGAAATTAACCTGTAATCTAGAAAGTCCGTGAAATGTTTATTTAAATATGCACTTTCAAATATATAGTTTAAGAATAACTACACCTTAAATTTGCATATAACTCGAGAACCCAAAACCATAATAAAACTGACAATCTTTCAATGAACTTCAAAACCCAAAATTTTAATTGATTATAAGATTGATTCCACTGACACAATTGATATGCCTTCATTAAGTTAAAGTTACATTTCATAAAAGAATAATACTATGTTTATGTTAATATTGAAACATTACACTGGCCACTCTGCAAGAATACCAAACCCTTTGAAATTTCAATAGTCATCAATATGCTTCAATTAATCCACATTAACTCATCCCTTTTCATTATCAAACCATTCAGAATCCTGAATCCTTTTTGTTACATTCATGTTTAATTTCTTTTCCTTTCATTCAAAATGAATGTCATTGAAGCGTTTAGCATAAATGCTTAACTCTTGCGGACTAACTCTTAATACAAGAGTTAATTCGCCGAATTTCGCTTCCATGTAACAACCAAACAGTATCTACTCTCCATTCTTTTTTCAGAATATACTGTAACAGACAAACAGATTCATGTGGAAATTTAGACGAACGATCAAAACTACCTGACGGACTTTCTCGTATGATAGGATTCCCGACTCGAAACTTGTACTTTTACCTTTGATTTGACAAAGTATTTAAACTACGAGTAGCAAGAAATGGTGAAAAAATAAAAGAAAAACAAAATTTCTAGTAAGGAGGAATCTGATACATTCAAAATTTGATACCAAAATTTCGGATCTATACAAGTTATCTAACAAACCCCATTTCACACACCTATTCAAGATCATCTTAGCTCACAAATTATATCATCATTAATCAAACCACACAGTGAGAGAAAGGGGAACATTTTCATTACACAGTTTCATCAAATCTTATTCTTCATCTTTCTGCTCCAAATCCTTTGTCTTTCCTTCCACTATAATTTATTAATCCTGTAAAAACAAAATCATAAAAAAAAACCACTCATTTTTATCAAATTTTAATTCAACTTAAAATAACTACTAAATAGTACATTTATGTAGATTAAGCGTAACGTAAACAAAAACTAACTTAAACTAAAGCACACTCCATCATCAATTAAATAAGATTAGCACCCAATAAAGTTTTGTACCAAAATCAACAAATTGGAGGTCGAGAATCTTTTGATTTAACAAGAAATTTTGTACACCCAAATCAATTACACCCCTAATACTTTGATTAAATATCAACTACACACCTAATTAGACAAATTCAAGCTAAACCCAAATCAATTAAACACCTAATTAGAGAAATTCAAGCTAAACCCAAATCAATTAAACAGCTAATTAGACAAATTCAAGCTAAACCCAGATCAATTACATATCTAATTTGACAAATTCGATCTCAGAACTATTTGCATGGAATTCAAAAAAACACCCGAATCAATTAAAATACCCAAATAAAAAAAAAAGTTACAAAATTAAACCCTAAAAATCATAAAATCAACTAAAAATCAAACAACCCAGAAAAATTAAATGAGCAAAAATTACCTTCTTGAGGTCTGCAACTAGGAGGATCTTCAAAAAGTGACAAAGAAAGTTGTTTTTGAGCCATACCAATATCAAACAAAATAATCCCAGATTTAGGATCAAAAACAGTAATTTCTTTAACAGGTAACCAAATAAAAAGCTCTTCTTGTGATAATCCTTCAACACCCATAAGTTCACCATAAGTAAGATTAGCTTTTACAACACTTTCAAAAAGAACCCTGTTTTCGAATTTTGTTAAACATGGACCGTCAATATAAACTTCTAGAAGACCGGTTTGATCGTTGAATTCGTAAGATTTAACTTCTTTTGGGAGTAAACCGGCTGGTAAACCTTTCTTCTTCAGAAGGTCGTGGACTGTCATGGTGGATGATGACGTGGAGGAGAGAGAAAGTGTGAAACAGAGGATTGTTAGAATTGTGAGTTTTTGTTGCAGAGTTGCCATTTTTATTTTTTGGGGAAGAAGATGAAGGAGGTTTTTTGGGTTTTGATTTTGAGTTTTATTAATTTGTTTGTTAAGAAGAGAGAGAAAGAAGGAGATATTTGGGGAAAAGAGGTTGAGAAATGGGAAAATTTAAATGGGTGTTTGATGTTTATTGTGAGATTACATAATTGCCCTTTTACGGTGGATGGGATTTGAGGTGCAATTGGGAAGATTTATGAGGGACAGTAGGGGAAGGGTGTCTAATAATGTAGATGATGCCATGATTGGCTCTTCCCATCTTTTGATCCATTCGTTCCTGAATACTTGTAATATTGATTAGAGTATGCTAATGTATATATTTAAGTATAATTTTAGGAGTACTCTGTATGTAATTTTATATTTTTAATAAGTGTAAAAGGATCGAAACTATTTCAAGTATATACGTGTTCTATTCTTTTTAAGTGGATGACTTTTAACTCTATTCATAAATTGTACTTTAATTAGTTTTTGTGATTTGTAGACTTGTAGTTACGATAAAATATAGTCATGTGAGATCGTGTTTGATTTGTCTCAACATAAATTTTATTAACATCAACTTTTTTATAATTTTTAATCGTTAAAATTATATATTGGCAACCGAGATGAAAAAGCGTGTTAACTAAATAACATAGGAAGTACCACACTAACATATTCATTTTTATATAATGCAGAGTAGTAAGAACAAGAAGTCTTATGCGTGGCTAATTATTATCTAACTAGACCCTATTCTACTCTATTTTCATTTGTCGAATAGAGCACACCTTTACTCAAGAATTTAATACAAAGAAGTTTTGATACTATGGAAATATACGTTAGTACATGCACTAATTCCAACTACATTTAACATGATAATATATTTTTGTGAGAGGCAAATAGTTAATGAAGAAAATTCTTAATTATCTAACCATTATTTTTGTTTGGCTGTAAACTAGTTTTTAACCCCGGCGATGTCCCGAATTATTGTGAATATATTTAAACTAATTTAAACTTTTATGATAATTAGGTGTATAAAATCTATATATATATTATTAATTTTGAAATTTATGAACATAATTAACTCTTTTAATATACAGTAATATTTGTTGACAGAAAATGTGTCATTAGAATGGTGGTAAAACTTGAATCATAATAAACATAAAGTCATGATTTCAAACATCAATGCTAACAATTAAAATTGGTGACATATGACAAAATTGCATGTCTTGCCATGAGTTTGATAAGGTAAGTAGCTATAGAATTTGAATATTGAACTAAGGTTTTTGAGACTTGTAGATAAAAGTTACTTCCTCTGTTTTTTTACACTTGCAACACACTTGTTATCATGCTTTTTGAGGAGGTGATTAAACTAGGTAAGCGAATGAATTAAGATATGAAATTTTAACCATAACAACTAATCCCTTTCTAAAGTATTAAACTAACCAATCATTGAACACGTGACAATTCAAATGATATATGGGAACTTCACCATAATTCCAATATGACAACACTGACTAATGTAGAAATAATATTAATTTAGGCCATTTTTCCCCAATCTTTAAGAGTTTTCTTCGATAAAATATAAGCAATAATTACTTATTGTGTCAAATATTTATCATTGGAAAAGAAATTACGATTTTGTGACATCGTTAGACACTCAAATCATATACAAGTATGTCTAAAACAGAATACCATAAACATGTTTAACACAACACAAATAGACTTTGACTTAGATAATCAGAATTTGTTGTTTAGTATGAAGTTAGTTATTTTAATTAAATGGTTTTGAAGAGATTGCTTAGAATTGGATTAGAATTTTGGGTGATATGGTAAGTATAATATCCTTAAAATGTATCCATGTAAAATGGAGTAAATTGATATCAATTCAAATACAAACGTATAAATCTTGACCCAAAAATAAACGTTATCAATAAACAATAAGTTCAATAACTCCTTAAAAACGAATTGTTCCTTGAATCCCAAAAATCTCCTAAATAAAGTATTCAATCAATAATCTTTATCACTAGTTCCTAATATGATAGGTAGAAACATTTAAAAAAAAATTGCACAAAAGAAATTTCAATTTTATTAATTTTAGATAAAGGAGTATTATCTTTTCGTTATATATATAGGGTTATTAGATTAAAATAAAATGATATATGGATGGTGGTAAATTACAATAATGTAATCTCACAATAAACATCAAAGGGCCTGAAATATACCGGCGAAATGTTTGGTGATGTTAACTTAAATTTAAGGGTTTTTGTTTGAATGCACCTGAACGATGACGTAACTTCAATAGAGTTTTATGAGCTTTTGAGAATAATGATTTCTGAGTCCACTAAAATAGGAAGGATGTATTCATAAGAGATGTGAGCCCCTTGATGGACTTAGTAGCTTGAGCTTGACCCATTTTACGACTTGAAAGTTTTTAATTTGGTTAATTTAATTTGTTTTATTAGGCTAGTGATAAATCGGCCCAAATATTTATAACCTGAATTGTATTTGATTAGCTCGGATTATTCATTTAGATGGACAAAAATAATTCAAAATGGATTATCAACATTGTTTCGGGGTTTTCTGATGTCCTGCGGGAGAGTTACAACACCGAGACTGGAACCGGCCGCTTGTACCTGCAAAATAACGGAGACTCCTGAGAGCTCCGCCTCCAACGGTCAAGTTAGTACCTGATTAAGGAGTAATTAATACGGAAATTAAAGTGGTTTAGCCTCTCTAGGTGAGAGTGTTTAATGTATAATCCGTGTGTTATTAGAGTTCTCCTCCTTTCTTAATGAGGATTAAGAGGAGTATTTATAGTCTTGAGAAGCGTGCCACTCTCTAGGTTTAGGGTAAACCTAGGGCTGACCAGGCCTCTAAACAGGATTGGGCCTTGGTGGCCGGTTTTCCCATTTGGCATGGGTGGACACGTGGCGTGTCTCAATTGGTCCGCAGAGGACGAATCTGTAATTGACACGTGGCAGGCTCCTATTGGCCTACGTGAAAGACACGTGGCGGAACCTGGTTGGTCCACTTGTCAGACGGTGATTGGTGGATAAAAATCCCCTAATCATTTGCCCCTCACAGGTGGCACGTGACTGGTCACGTGTCGCCTGTGACAGGTGTCGCATGGTGACAGGCGACGGCCTGCTGCAGGTGTCACCTTGCAAATGGCCGAGAGATTTTCCCGCCCAAATTTTGAATTTGGAAGCGACCCTTCGCCTTCTCACTTTGCCTATATAAGGAAGTGCTGACTTCGGTCATTTTTCACATTTGAGAACTTTGCGAGAGAACATTCGGACCCCTGAACTTGCTCTGACACTTTTGTTGCCTACCGCCTGCTCTGACAAGCCGTTTGCAAGGGATTTCAGAATTTCATCAGTCGTCACTCGTTCAGGTAACCGTCGGTTCTCTTATTCTTAATTTTTTTTCTTATTATTATTTTTTGAAATGGCACCATGGAAGCACACGACACGACCTAAGTTAGTGATCAGCCGGTCACCGGGGACGGCTGAATCTAGGACTAGGAGTGCCGCCTGCCCTTTTCTGGACCCATCTTTGCCCTTTATACAAAGTCCGACTGTATCTGTGTCTATGCAGAACGTGATGGCCAGAACAAAGAAGACTGCTAGGATCTCAAACTCGGACGGCTCCTCCCAAAGGGTGCCCATTAGTGAAACATCTGATCAGGCGCCAGATGTAGAAAGGAAACAAAGCGGCTGCCAAGCCGACAGTTCTGAGGGAGGGGGCAAGGTGGTCCCTTCCCATTTTACCGTTGATATGTCCAACTTTTCTCCTGCTCCTTCTGAGGGAGAGGAGGCGGGCCCCTCTGGGAGAGGGGAGGAGTCGTCCTCTTCGGACTCGTCAGAGGACGAGTCCGAGTCCAGGTCTTCTGGCCACGCTTCTCCAGGCTCAGAAGAAAGAAACAGCCGCCTACAAGAGGCGAGGCTTTCTCATGCAGTTGAGAAGGGGAGCAATTGGGCGGAGCCGTCCGCCTCTTACAGAGAGGAAAACACCCCCTACTACTGCACGGTACCCCGGGGCCGGATCGCGGCCATGAAAGACAAAGTGGAGAGCTTTATAGCTAACCACAGAATGGGCCCCGGATTTTTACTGTTTGTGCCGGATCCAGAAGACACTGTCGTCTGGCCGGCTGGTACCAGCTATGATAGCGGCTGCTTTGGCTGCTATGAGGCGGCCATCAAAGCTGGACTGCGCTTCCCATTACATCCGGCTGTTCAGCGGATTTTAGATGGGTATGATTTGGGGTTATGGCAGTTAGCCCCCAACTCTTGGGTAAACGTACTCGGCTATGTGGCCGGGTGTGAAATGTACGGGGTGGAGCCAAGCTTCGAGGCTTTCGCCCACATGAACTATCTCAGCCGGACCCCTAAGTCGGGCGGTACCGGCTGGTATCAATTAACAAGCCACAGGGGCTACCTCATGACCAGAGGTAAGGCGAACAAATGGAAGGATTGGCGGAACACCTTCCTTATCATCGAGGGTTCAGACACGGAGCTGAACAAACGCTTTAACAAGTGGAATAGGGATCCGCCTCTTCTCGCAGGCGGCCGCAGCATGCCGCCTGTTCCCCCAAAGGCTAAAAAAGAGATCCTAGACAAAGGACTCTTCAAAGTAGAGACTAGGGTGAACTCTACTTCAGGGGTACGAGAGCAAGTACCCCTGAACTGCGTCCCGAGCTTTAAGTGGCTCTATGACGAGTACTTTTTGGCCGCCTGTGGCCTCAGCAGTCGGTGCTCTAGAGGTAGCCGGCCTGACAAATACTCTGTTTTTTCACGCCTTGTTTACTTGAGATTTTTACTAACTTTGCTGTTTATTTTTTGCAGCTGACGCCATGAGTAAAATAACAGCATCCAAGACTGCGGCGGCCATGTTGCGGGCCTCTCTCATGCAACAGTCTTGTACCGACTCCCCCAACAAGGGGGCACCCTTGGTAGGCCTCGAAACTCTTCCTCTTTTAGGAGTTGGCTTATGCATATACTAACTTTTTTTTTTTTTTTTTTTTTTTTTTTCTTCAGTCGGGCACTCCAAGAGCTTCTTCCTCGCAACAGCCGGACCCCAAGGCCCGGAGGACGACTGTTGCAAGCTCTCCTGGGTCTTCCAGGAAAACAGTGGCGGCTGAAAAGCAGCCGGCCACTTCTTCTAAAACTCCGGCGGGGCCGCCTAGAAGTATGG